ATGGAGTAAAATATTCTATTTTCTGGTAAATAAAAATAAGCCACAGAAACATAAATACACCTAAGCTGACAAAAGACATTGTAATAGAAACAATTAGAGAGCTGAACAGAACTGCCCGTGTAACTTGCTTCTATTGAAATTTTACCCTTTCCCAGCCCATGATGTTTCTGGCAGTTTACCATTTGTTGTTTTAATTGTACGAGATCAGTTGCGCTACTGACTGCGTAAAAGCTCCAGACAAAGAACCTTCCTAAGTATAGATTTGTTTTTAAAGAATCTAGGCTCACCCCCTCTTGTGCTTACACCACCTCTCAAAGACCGATGGGAAGACGGGGCATAGGTAATGATCCTGTATGAACAAGGAGGGTCTTGTAGAAGCAGTCAGTGCAACGTTTCAGAGGAATAGCAGGAAGGATTGATTAGGGGTGGGAAGTAGTATGGATAGAACCAGAAGCTTCATTAGGAGAAACACATGTTAAAAACAAGTATATTTTTGGAAAATAAAGTGTTTCCTTTACTCCCCAAGAGGAGGGCTGCAACTCTGCCAAATGTTAAGCGCTCTGTTTGACCACGTGATACGTCTCAGACCATACAATGGTACAGGTCCTAATAGAGCTGTATGAACACACCCCAGGACACACAACTGCAGTAGTTAAAAGGACCTGTCAATGTGTCCACTCATCTAAGCAAAGTCTCAAAATCCTAAAGATCATACAGCATTTCTTTTCCTGGCTGTGGTACACAGATACTGTAGGTGTTTATCATAGCCACAGCTGGAAAACTAGTGGCCTAATAGTTAAAGAGTTTTTGTTTAGTTTTGTTTCTTTTGCTTTAGATAATGCAAAAAAAACCCCAAACATGTAAGAGAACTGAGAAAGCCTGCTGCTCATTAAAATCTCAGCAAGATATTCTGGAGAGCTGCTTGTGTTACTTGAAACAGCTATAAAATCACCATCATTAAGGAGATGCCTGCATTTCCCAGACTCCGCTTTTTGGCTATAACATACATAACATGTATAAGTATCACTTACCCAGATACTTGAATGAGATATTTGAGACTTGTGTCAGCAAAAACTTAAATCAAAACCTCCAAAATACCTTATCAGGATAGCTCAGTCTTGCAAAAAGAAAAGGAAAACACCTTGTTTGTTCTTTTTTTTTTTCCTTTTTTTTTTCTTTATTGTGGCATAAAGGCAACTTATAAACTGTCATGTTTGTTTAGGGTGTTAGAGATATTAAGAATTCAAACAACATACTTCTGAAATCAGACAAAATTGAACTGCAATACAGATCAATCAGTTAAGGAAAAATCACAAAGCAGAAGAGATCTAAGGCTGCTTAACATTATGCTCTGTGCAGCATTCTTATCACTGTAGCTCGCCAACAACAACTGTTCAGTGATAGAAGCTGAAATTTCTAGCAGAAACACACAACTCAATGCAAACTCAGAATCTGAAAATTACAACAAAAAGGTTTGTACTCCTTATTTTGGACATAAGATGATAAGACTCATGAACAATCAAGAGAACTAAAGTTTCTGCAGTCATTAGGTGAAAATGAACATTATTTTTAAAAAAAGAACACCAAAACCAAAGCAACAATCAAACAACAACCCTCCACCCACACCCCAGAAAAAACAACCCAAAACAAACACATCCAGTATCACAAGAGACCTCAATGTTTCAAGCTGTGGGTCCTGTCAAAGGAGCCCCTAATAGGTGCTTGCTTGGACAAGGAATGTGTTCAAAATAGTCACAGTGACACAGTGTAGTGTTTATTCTCCAAATAGCTAAAAGATGACAAAGATATTTGCATTCTACCAAAAAAGTGGGAGTGTATGCATGGAAGCAAAAGCTACAAACACCTGAGTTACACATCACCTGTATTAGCTGTCCCACTCTGCACTGTACAACGGTTAGTGGGCTCACTGGGACGGATCCCAAGGACAGCTATGGCAGCATGTGTTCCAATGTTTTAAGTAAGTTTTGGTCAGGTTTCAAGACAAAAGGCAGAAAGAAAATAAACACGAAGACAACATTCACAAAGGATGTTCTCTGTAGCATTGTATCTTCTATTATAATTAACCTTACTTCTCCCCAAAACAGAGTGTACTATGCAGTACTACACACTATTCATTTGAATCTTTTTCTTGGCTTGAAAATTCTTCCCTCTTCTGCCCACTCATTAAACATTAGTTGCCTGTATTGCTATTTCTACTTGTTAAGTACAGTTGTCTCAAAGTCCATGATGATAGTGGCCTGTATTTGGTCGATCTGAGGGTCAGTGTTAAAGGTACACCCTGAGTAAACCAAAATGCATGCAAAGTCAAACCAGAGAAAATTCTGTGGTCATGCCTTTGCACTTCAGTCTCACTAAGAATTTGTTTAAATCTTTATTACAGTTTAGCCATTATCAGGCTAAAATTCTTCTTTTCATGATCAAGGAGAACTTTACCACAATGTCTTAGTAGTACAGAAACCACTGTTAAAACAATTCCATAACAAACAATGTCTCAATGTCTGATAACCAGTCGCCAAGATGAGCTACAACACTATGGAATCTCGTACAGTTAGATAATTGCTGATAAATTTTTGAGAACAATCAGCTGAAGTGCTGATTCAAAGACGTTTCAAGATATTTTACTGATATTTTTTGTAGCCTAACAACTGCGGATACACAACTGTATTTGGAAAAACTAGAAACTACCTCACTATAGGGTGAGAGATAATGAGTTAAAATTAAAGGTTGCTGCTGGCTTGCTAGCCCATCCCCCTTTAGCTAATCTGTCATGTAATGAAGAGAAGCACCCAGCATAGGACAGCTAGCTGCCGGCTCACTTACAGCGAGCTGATTAAGAATGTTCAACCAACAGCAGACTGCAGACCTTTCCAACGAAAATAAATAGACTGTATGCAAATGTGTTTGTCACTTTGACAGCATGTCTCAATTAAAGCATCTCGCTGCTGTTGGTAGGCTCTCTCACTGCAGTGGTATGGACGAGGCTTACTGCATTACTGATACACAGGGCTTGACCCTAATCCGCATGCATGCATTTTAAAAAAGTCTGCCTTTGCCATATACACTAGCATAATACCAGCAGACATAGAAAGCAAGTGACAATGAGAAAAAAGCCTCTTTCATCCTCTTCAGTTTGTAAGAACTATGAAGGCACAAACAGCCCTTATTTCAGAGTTCTTGTGGCTTTTTAATTGTTCCCACCTACTGTATTCTAGGCAGAGTTAAAAGTGACACTAAAATCTCTCCCTTTAATCACTAGTTAGAAGCCATCTTCCATTTAAACAGTAAATGTTGCTGCTTTTTTCCTCGCCAAAGCCTTAATTTATATTTCATAAACCTGAACATCTTTTCCTTCTGAATGAAAGTATGATTTAATTTTTGTTTTGGCATTGGGCTATCAGGAAAAAAAGACCCGTGAAAGGGACAAAGGCTATAAGTGAGAGAGCCCTACAACTGCTAAGTTAGATAATTCTTTGGAAACCAACATTTGTAATGTAATGACAGTAATAAGCATTTAGCAAGTGAGCCGTTCACCACAGCCAGTGGTTCAGTAAAGCTGATATCTCTTTCTTTTGACATAGAGAAAGCGATCATTAAAAAATTTGAAAGTGACCATTAAAAAACCTTATGAATTTACATTTGCAATTTCCACATGATTATATATTTCATTAATTTACGAAAATGTTTAAACCATGCATCCTTCATAAAAAGCTAAGGGAAAAAACTAAAAGTAGATTATAATACTATTTGGATTTCTGACTGCTTTAAATGAAATGTAACATTTTCCTGTTAGAGCTAAATGGCTACATTTCTCCAGTAGCCTCAATTCCTCTCAACTCTTCTGGCACAGAAAGTAAGCAAAAAAGTCACTACTGCAAATATTTAACTGGAAGAGAGTCTGTTGGGGGTGGGGGGGGAAATGGTCTCCAAGAAGTTACATTTAGCAGAGTGGTGACAGTTCTGAAAGAAACAAATCTAATTCTAAAATGATACAGACAACATTGCTCTGAGCAGTGACTGTATTGTGTCTATCTAATAGATACTAATCTATTACCTATTAATAGATGTCTAATTATCTAATACCGAAACAGTCAATGTTGCTATACTGACTAGTTTCTATTAATAGATACCTATCTAAAAATCTGGCTTGCTTCACATTTTATAATTCCCAATATTTTCCAATTGTTTTAAAATTACACTATGTTTCCTTAGAAGAAATCAGATATTCACTCCTTTTTTCTCATCATAATACTGTAAATATAGATACAGATAAAGAAAAGAGAACTGTGAACACAAATAATGTTATTTTTTTGTGTCAGGCTACACTTAATAGGGGAACGCTGGCAAACTGATAGTAAATACTGTAAGTTTTTCCATGAAAAACACAGCAACTACAACACTTTCTAAATAACTAGCTCTTTAAAAAAAAACACAAAACCAAACTTGCTCTTTTACAGACATATCAAAAGAAACATTGTAAGAGTAACTAATATGTATAGCTCAGTTGTCAATACTGAAATCTGAGAGTACACTAATAAGCTATTAATTGATTTTGCCATCTTAGTTCAACACATTTCATTTTCAAAGAATGTTAAAATGCTTTAATAGTTGGATGTTCCATATTGACACTAATGATCTGCCTAGATAACAGAGGACATTTTAAATTATACTTCCTCAGTCCTGAGGGCTGTAGCACTTTGCATGCTAAAAGAACAGCAAAATAGTTTATAAAATTGCTACAATAATTATGCTTCCCCCCATTCACTTAGAATTTATTTTCCTCAAAATCATCATATGAACAAAAGGAATCAGTAAACCCCAGAAAAATCAGGTTTTAGAGTCCCATTTAAAGAAATACAACAGAAATAAATCTGTAACAACATAATTCAGTTAGAAAAAATAATCAAACAATTGGCATTTATGTTATTGTGACTTTTCTCTGAACTATTTTTGCTGAGTCACACAATGTAAAGAAACCTAACACTCAGACATACCTGACCAAAATGTACTGTGATTGGTCTCCTGTCTTCTCTTAATTTAGGGTCCTTCTTTTCAACCAATGGAGAAGGCGCTGTCCTTGGTAGAGATTCCTCCGGTGTTGCAGAACAGCCATTCTCGGCAATGTCCTGTATGGTAGGAAAAGGTGAATAGCGTGGCCAGGAACATTCTTGATTAAGGGTAAGGGGCACAAAGGAGACACTGGAGGATAATGCTGACTAACAATTTTGATGTTAGGGGGGGAAAAAACCAAAGTACAGAAAAGAAAACATCATTAGAATAAAACATTTCACTGCGCTTTGTCAATCAGAGCTTGTACACAACCACGCTCTCCTCCTAATACCAATGTTGCATGCAAACAGACACATTCAATAAAATGTCTGACTTAAACATGCAAAAGCCAGGAAATATACAGGGAGAAAAAAATATATAGCTCAAAATTTCTATTCTAGGAACAAATTCAACTGAAACCTAGGAACAGGGCTATTCTGCTTTTTGCAAACCGAAGTGAAAACAGTAATTCTATTTACGTACTTCACAGAATTTTCTGTGGCAGAACAACTACTTCTGGAAGTGGCAAGAAGAGATGAAACTCACAGCTTAGTTAGCTTTGCATTTTATCTTTGAGTCTGTGCATACTGAATATGCCTTTATGAGCCTGTATAAAACAAATTGCTGCCTAGCAGGATGCTTTTTTGTTTTGCTTTGCTTTTGCTTTTGACATTAGTTGTCATCTTCAGAAGTAAAGTGACCCATCAACCTAGGTTAGAAGACTTGGCAAGTGTATGTATGGTACATGTAACATAGGTTTTGAAAAAGACAAAGGCATGCAGCCATAAGGAATCAGACAAGGAGAAACGAGTTTGAAAGTCAGTTGAGAAACAGTCTATAACGCAGTGGGCCCCAAACCTTACATCTCTTTGCAACAATGTCAAGGAAATAATGCTCGGTAAATATAGAGAGAAACCTGCACACACTGTAGCTCTGCAAGACTGACCTAAGGTTGGCTGCTTACACAGACATTGCTTTGATTCACTGACCTTTGACATGCCCCCTCAAGTTTCCGTCTTGCTAAGGTACAATAATGAGACATGTAAGCTGATGGCCAATTAGAAATGGTTCTTTTGGACACAGACTGACCTAATGTGTTTAGGTCAAATGAAACAAAAAGCTAGATGGACTTTCTAAGGGGCTTTGTCTGCTCCACAGAGAAGCTGAGAGACCTTTTTAGATCCAGCTGGTAGAGCAGTGTTTCACCAATACGGGCATAAGGATCGGGGGGTGGGGGTGGGAATTAACAACTTGTTAAGGTCAAACTAGAGAGAAAAACTTTTTCCTCCCCCTGCCCTCCAGCTGCACAGTGCCACCTTGTCTTTAAAAAAACCCAACAAAGTACACAAATTAGTAACAAAGAGCCCCAAAACAACTTGATTGTTGACAAGAAATGTAAGATTCTGTCAAACTCATACTTCAGCTCCAAAACAGCAACAAACTACCAAGGGATCGGTCAGTTTTGGAATCGTGTAACACACGGCAGCAATGTATACTGTTCTGAAATGTAATGACTTTAAATACAAACTTTATTTACATATTTCTATACAAGTATAGCCATATTAAATGTGCACCAAGCTTCAGACCTGTTATGTATATGCCATAAAGGTGCCCAGCACATTCAAAGCCACCTGACCTGCACTGAACAGTGGACCCTCCCAGCGCTTCAGAGCTTTCAGCATTCCACCTGGAGCTGCGGCTCCAACCAAGGGAACAGACAGCTGGGAATCAACGGAAAGCAAAGCATCTTCCAACTGGGGCAAAATTTCCAGAAAAATGTTAAATGGACACAAACGTTTGGACATCAGGGGAATGGGAGGAGATAAAAGATACAGACAGATAAAGCCATTAAAGCAAAACCCCCTAAGATGTATAATGATCACTGCAAATCCTTGCAGCTTTTATTGCTATAGGTTCACTTCACTTTTCTGATGATATAATTGCATGCAAAAGATAACATGTTCCTGAAGTGTATTTCCACTGTGTTTGGTGTGCAGAATTCTAAAGAAACTGCAACAGATTTCAGTCAAAATTATTATTTTTTCTTAATTTATGTAATAAAATATGAGAATTACATTTTTTGATTCCTCTGTATTTTTTCAAAATCCCCAAAAGACAGACAAATCAACAACACAGCTTCAGCCATGAAAGCAAAATTTGCTTCACAGAAGTTTGTTTTCTACCTTCAATGAAAACACATTTGAGCTATATGATCAGAGATATTTGATTTTAAAGACCCCAAATAAGGGCTCCAAGTAGCTTTAAAATGATCAAACATCAAAGTTTGGCAATTCTATAATAGGAAAGTAGACAACAGTCCTTCAAAGCAGTCTGTGACATACCTTCAGTCCACTAACAGACTTCGAATAGTTATTCAGAAGACAGTGGGGAGTGTAAGACAGACCGAGAGCTAAAACCACAAATAAGGAAACAGGACTCTCAGATTCTGAACTTTAGTTTCAGAAAGGTATCAGGGCTCACAAAATGTCTCCTGATAAAAGCAGTTCTTCAGCTGGAGAACTACAAATGGCCGAAGAACTGCAGTGGATCCTAGTGCAGGCAGGTCTTAAAAAAGCAGTGCCCATTCCTGGTACTAAACAAAAAGCCAGGTAGACCTGTGCATCCCAACTGAGGGAGAGGATTTACCAGCCAGAACGCAATCTGTACCTCCACACTGCTTTCAAGACCAGTGCTAGTACCTCCCCTTGAAGCTATGCTGCATAACCGTACCAGCTTGGTTGGTGCTCACGAGCAGTTCTTTGTACTGCAGTGCATCATACTGCGTAGGTATGTCCCAAGTGGGACTTTTCAGTTCCGACATGTCCCCAAAAAAGGGGTTTGGTATAAGCCAGAAAGACATTCCTGAAGTAGCTTAAGTCATATATGTTGTTCAGGATAACAAAAAAACATGATACCTATTCTCCTAAAAAATGGAAAATAATGGAAGGTGATAAGTTACTCATTACTGGAATAAATTGTCCAGAAATGCAAAAACCTAGCAAAGTTTCAGTGATTTTTTTAATGAAAAGAAAGTGTAATTTAAAGATATTATTAAAAACAAAAACACCTTTTGCCTGAGGAAAAAAGATACTTTATAGATTACTGGAAAAAGAGAATGGCAATAACCTATCATGCTCTATAATTATCTGCATATATAAACAGTGCTTCCCCTAACAACTGTCTGTTCAGGAGAAATCTTTACTACCTATTTATTTTAAAGGAGGAACTTCAGAGAATGACTAAGACATATATATTTACAGACATGTAAAGTTTACCCTGTAAACTGAATAAGGTTTTCTTCTGTTTAAATATGGATTAGTAATTTTTCTAGGGACCTTTTGTAATGTACTACAAATACTGTCTATTAGAAGAGCAAAAAACACATTCCAAAATGTCTAGAAGGAGTCTCCAGGTTATTTTATAAACCTCTAAATGAGTTGTTTCTAGCTGTACGGATAATAAACCATTGACAACTGCCCATTGATAACAGACATTAACCAGAGCCACACAGGGCTCTAGTAAGTAAAATAATGTTGAATACATTAACGCCAAGTGCCCAACCATTTATATAAATTGTCTTATCCAGAAGCTTTCAGTAAGTTACATTCTCCTTACTGAAAGTTGAGGACGGTACCGTTCATATTCCTCCTTCTTCCTAATTCTATGTAGTTAAGCTTCAAATGAGCCAATAACAGAGTGACTTGACCACCATGGTCCATTTGTGAAATGGAAAAAGCAGCCTTTACAAAAAAAAAAAAAAAAAAAAAAAAGAGGAAAGAAAGAAAAAGAAAAAAAGAAAAAAGTACTGTATCAGGTATAAAATAAAACTACCATGCTGTATCTATTAACAATTATTTGCTATCACTCATAAGAATCCTCTGAAAACTATTTCTGTTGCTTTGAAATACTGTACCACAAATGAACAAGGGATGGAAATAGAGCCCCATTCAATCTCTACTATCATATTAAAGAAGGACCTTACACACACCACAGTGACCTCTCAACAGGTCAATCCTGCATTTCCCATTTGCAATTCAAACCCAAGACTGGAGCAAACCAAGGGCAAAATGGGCTCTTGATTATATTTAAGAGGTCACCATTGCTATGCAGAGTTGTAGAAAGCAGACCTCTAGCTTTATTGCATTTTTAAATTCTATCTTGTACGGAAGCTGCTCATATTTGGCAGCAAAAACTGGAAAAGGGATGTTTATATTTGACTTTTCCTTACCAGTGGCCTGCATACTTTTTGTATTAATAATGGAAAATAGTATGTTAAAATGCAGTGGATAGTGAGTTCAGTTTAAAAATAACCTTAGGTTATCCTTAGAAGATGAAAGACTAGCATCCCAAATTTGGCAAAAATTAAATATTTAATGATGCCAGAATTTCACACAGTTAACACTTGCACATACTGGTCAGTAAATACATGAAGAATACAATGTTCTCACATGAAAATTGGTGAGGATGCACTAACAGACTTGTCAACAGAGCAGCACAGACATTTAGACTAAAAATAATATGAGGTGGCCAAAACAATTTTTGCTATTTTTATCACTTTAAACAGAACAATACCTCTTTTTAGAGTTATCTTCCTACCTTGCATTCAAAATGGAGAACAGGATGGGACAGAAAAGAACAGACTTAATGAGGAAAGGAAAGGTAGAGCAGTATGTGTCAACTACTCATAGAAATCTTTTAAGCTCTTGTGAAAGTGTAGGTTGAACAATCATGTTCAACCATCTTTCTTACAGAAATGCCACGTAATAAGGAAGGTGAAACAAAATTGGGCCATTTATTTGTAAATGTTTTGTGTGTTTTTTTGAAAAGAGTGCATGCTGCTCGAAGGACCAGGGAGACAACAATAATAATAAAACTAAGCAATGAATGAATGAGACGTTTCTCAGCCATTTATACAAATGTCACTGAATAGCACACAATTATATTAGCATTTAAAATACAGGAAAACAATCTGGTCATTTTACACAGCTCCAAATGCTTTAGAAATGCACATGAGAAGGCCAAATATTTTATTATTCATGAAGGTTATGTCCAGAAGTGAAAGACATGGAATTACATTAAAAATTCCATGTACAAGAAAACTGCTTCATGTTTCTAATATTTTCGTATTATACCTAAAGTGATCCCATATAAAGTAGTAAGTGTAACAAAATAAAATAGCACTAAAAGCATCTGAAGCAACTTTATCTTCGTCAAAAATCTCTCACAATCTTCTGGAGTATTTAGAAAGCGAACAGCATTTGGATTGTATCCACAGTTAATTTAATTTGTTTATAACCTGTCTGCAGAATAATCCCTTTGTATTAACATTTTGTTGACATGTTCAGGTAGATTTCTGTTTGTGCCACAGGAATACATTTGCAGCGCTATCTTAAGATGATGGTTTAGAAGCTTAGAGAATAAATTTACTGAGATAGCACAGATTAAAGGAAACAAATGCAACAAATTGAATAAAAATTTCTGATAGCAACTTCAGTTCTATGAGCAAGTTAGCTATTTTATTTTCCCAAAAGACTCTTATAGCTCTGCTTCATAGAATAAATAGAATATCTGCAATAAACCTAAGGCAGAGTTAACCATTCATTCATAAGGTATATATCAATATGACTATGCTTCTGGCTTAGAAGGAGCAATTAGTATTGGATAACACATTCTTCAAACACAATTCAGCATTCTTGGAATTGCATTGTTTACAAACAGAGACAGATTTGGAAAACAACAAAAATACTACTTTGAGTATTTTTTTCTGCAATTTGAAATGAACACAGACTCTAATTTCTTTATGCCTAAAGTTTGCAGTAGACATTCATGAAACATATAAATCCTTTTCCCAATGACCAACACTATACTATTTTCCCTCAGAGATTACTGTAGAAATAACAACAATTTGCCATTTGCAAGAAGTTCACTGCCTTTACTGTAGGAAAGATCTCCCAGTTCACGTAAAGTCCCCTTCCACAATGCCCCAGCACAAAGGACAGGAGAGGGACCACTCCAATTAGAACACTCAATTTTCTGGCTTTTGTGGGTTTAAGTCAGAGCCTTAATGTATTTGAAGACAGTTTTTTTTTGGTCTGTGAATATTTATAATAGTGTGAAAAATCCAGGACAGCTGGTAATGCATTTTGAAGTGTGCTAACAACACTGTATTAAACAGCTTCCTATTGATCACATAATGCTTTTTGTGGCTAAGTATTTCATACATGGTGCTTATACATTTTGAATAAGAACTTCAAGTACCTTTTGCTTCAAGCGGTTTTTCACTTCTTTTATTCCCATCTTTGCATGATCTTTTGCCTGCATGAAAAATTAATTTAAGTTAAAATCCCCTTCTATTTCCAGCAGCGACTATGCTTGATTTCAGTGCATCAAGATTCACCTTCTCCAGTTACCAAAAATGGCATGGAAAAAATTGTAACGGGATACTGAAAACATACTAGAACTTATAGAAAGCTAAACAGACCCCAAAGAAAAAACACACCGTCACACCCACTCATTGCAAAAACTTTGTTTTCTCTGTTTTGATGCCGCAGGCATCTTTCATCTTCTTGCATTCCACACCCTTGGTCTTCCCCTTAAGTATTTATCTTTTCTGAAAGTTAACAATCAACGGCAATAGTAAGCTTGCAAATTTTCTCCTTGCAGTACTCTGGATGTCTGTTCCATTTAGTACAGCTAATCTCATCCTATTCATCTCTCAGGCTGGAGGAAGGCAGGAGAAAATAAAAGTCTGAATAGTTATTGCAATGCTTTTTGTAACATTATTTTCCTAAAATTGAGCTTATAAGAAATCCTCGCTTGTCTCTGTGCTGTTTTATATTGCACAGTGAAACTGCAGCTATACGTGCTAACATACTAACATACTAGCCAACACACTAACATACTAGCTGTTTGTTAACAAAACTGAAAACGTTTTCATTTAAAGAATAACTCAGTAAGTTGGGCTCTAAATAAGCAGGTATAAGAAATCTCTAGGGAAAATTAACTGACTTTTAGAAAAGATGGAAACAATTTGGAAAATGAGAGGATTCCCTTATTTCGATGAAGCTGCAAGCAGAGAAACCTGAGGTAACAATGATTTCCAACAGAGTAATGATGAGATGGTAGAGCTGCATAGTAGAGCATATAGGCACTATTTCGCAGAATAATAAATAGAATTTATCATCCATGCTTTCAAAAGAAATCACAAGTTCCCCTTCTCCTTTGCATTTCAATTATGTTTAAATTTCAAAATGACTCTTCCATTTAAATTTGAAATTTAGATGAATGTGTATTTTAAGTAATTTTGTGAGTCCAATAAAAATGAATTTAGGACTTGAGTTTCATTTGAAAGGTTAAAACAGAATTGTAATTAGACTCTTATCTCAGTAGTAAGCCAGTATTTGATACTTACAAACTTATAGACAGTCTTCATGGCAGGGTTGGCCTTGGTCTTTACTGTATTTAAAATGGCTCCACTTCCTTTCTATAATTATAGTAAGAAGAGAATAAATTTTATCAAAGCTCTTTAAAGCAAACAGCAATCTGAAGTCCACCATTCCTAACTTAAAATAACAAAGCATTAACTATGCTTCTTAGCAGAGCTGAGTTTTAAAATAGCAAATTTAAAGAAAACAAGTAAAAACATATTAAATGCTTCTCTCTGGTTTTCCAGAAGAATCCCAATTCTGTTTAATACAGCAGTTTTCAAAAGAAAAATATCAGTGTCTCCTAATACCAAGAGCCCTTGTCCTACAGGTTGTCTCACCAAACAGTGTTCTATGACTGTTCCACTCACCCTCAAGGATGTCCTGTACGTTGCATTGAAGTCCTAAACAAGTTTAAGACAAAAGTGTCCTACCAAATACTCAATGCCTGGGGCAGAAAGTTCAGTTTCAGGAAAGCCTGTACATTCAATCTGAAGTAGTAAGATCTTTTTTTATTTTCCTTTTCACGATCTCACAATACTATTTATCAAAAGCATGCTGCCTTTTTAAGACCTAAGTAGTCAATAAAGGGATAAATTGAGGGAAAATGAAATCTAACTACAGTCATAAACATTAATTCTAGAAAAGCTGAATTGCATGTGGTGAATATAATAAAAGTCATAAGACAGTAATATACCAGACAGAATAATCTGTTAGTCTGGTTGGTGTTTTAGACATCTTCTACACACCACTGACTCTTGCTGTACAGTACCTTATTTTATAAATATAGGAGATGGGTAGAACCCAAGGAATAAAACATTTGACAATTTTGTAGTTTCTTATTTCAGTGCAAAATTATATTTCCAGAGATCGGATGCAAAGTTTTAAGATTTACTACTTCTGTTACTACATAACAATTGTTCTTCCAGAAAAATTATAAACTGTTGAATTTAACTACATGAATTTTTAGATTCACTGTCAGCCATTCCCCTTTCTTATTATTTTAAACTTACCTGTCATCCTATGTACTTATATATATTTATGTGTGTGTGTATATATAGTTACCTACCTAACTATATTATGGAATTTTTAGCAAAATGTTTAATGCAAAATTATCAAGATAATATCAAGCCCAGCATTTTGTGTAAGCAACATAATTCCATTCATAACCAGGACAATAGGCAAATGGAATGCTGCAAAACTCAATTCTGTCAGAAAACATTTCTATCTTTCCTACTGACTTGTACCCATAAACCAGAAATATTTTACTTTTCAATATATCACATTTTATACATCAAAAGAGACTTTTAAAATCAGCTACAATAATGTACTATTCTCTAAAAGTATTTAAATTTTTAATTTATACAACCTAGAGCACTAAACCAAAGAGATCCAAAAACATGCCAAACAGTGCTGTCCCCATTCAGTGCTTCACACCATATAGTTGTATAAAAAACTTTTTTGGTGTAGCAATGTTCCCTTTTGCTTCCTTTTCTATGAAAAGGAAAGAACCACCGCATTATTTTCTAAAATGGCAATAACTTATTTCCAGCTGTCTCCAAGACATTTTAAGTGGGATTCAAAAACTTGAGAATTCCTACGGTGATTTTTTTTTTCAGCGTATTTTTTTTTCTGTTCTTTACTTCATCTGAAGAGTGCATTAGTTTCTTACAACTGAACTCAAGTCGGTCACAGCTAAATACTGCAGGAAACAGGTTAGTCATGTTCATGAGGACAGAGGTTAACAGCCATACAGAACTGTGCAAGGGTCCAGCAAGAATCAGAATGTCTGTTGGAAGAATAGTGTGTTCTTACCCTTACTGTAGAGAGCCACTGGTGGTACAATTTGTCACTACCTAGAAAGAATCATGAAAACAAACAAACAAACTGTAACTCTCTACCAAATAGAAAACAAGTTTGAAATGTGAAGTGTTAGCACTTAGTGGTTCTAGGAGCATGAATGATACAGAAACAGAACAGGACAACCACCCTTTTCTTTTAATGGAAACACAACAACAAAAAAATCATGATACACCTACAATTTTTCTTTTACTTGCTAAGAGGCATTTCTATTTTACCTGGGTTGTTTTTCAGACATTTGAGAACGCTGAGGGGCTTTTTAAGATCACTAAGAGAAATTTGAGGTGGTTCTGGGTAATGCCAAGGTTTTTCAAGTATCCTCCATTGTAAGAACTCTTTTAGTTGTACTTTAGCCAAGTGGTCAATCTGAGGTTTTGTAAGACTGAACAGATTTTATTCAGACTATAATACATTACTCGAAGTTCTTGACAGAGGAAAGAACAAAAAACACTTCAGCCTCCAGGGATCATTGCAGCGTCAGTTATTTAGGTGAGTAACCACAATGACCCATTACATCATGATGGCCCACAAACAGTAAGTCAAGAACAGTGTCTGAAATTACTTCAAAATTCTGTATTTCTTACCTGCATATTCTCCCATATTTATCTCTTCTTCAAAAACATCACTGAAGCCCTCTCCAGAATTAAGAAGATCCAGACGGCCATCAATGAACTACCACATAAAAAGAGAGGGTAAACAAATCAACCATCCCATCCTTTATCTTTTCTGAAAGACTTGATCCTGCATTTGCCAGAATAACCCCAATCTTCTTATTGGGAAGGGACTCTCAATCAAACGAAAATACAACCAAAACGCTTACCAATGCAAAAAGGTATGCCGCTTCACTGAAAAAACAGCATTCATGTGTTTATCTATACATACATGTTTTCAGAAGCAATAATACCATGTTTAACAGTAATAGGCTTTCTGTACAAAGTTTACAGCAGATATATTGGGTCTAGGTATGCTCAGATCAAAACTGGGCACTGAGACCTTTAGGAGAAAAAAACATACACCTCCTAAAATATAGAAAGCCATATCACCTGAATCTGAGAAAAGCCAGCAATCAGGAATTAAGGTGCTGCCAACTACATAAATTTTCCTCATTATGTGGCTGACAGATCAAGGATTATAGGAACAGTCCTCAAAGAAAACAGCTGTATTGTTAAAGAATCTGCTTCCACATTAGAGGAATTAACCCAGTACCTGCTTAAAGAGCTGGAGCTGAATGGCATTCTGAAGAAACTGCCTCATGACAGCAGAACGATGGGACACAAATGTTTCTTCACAAAAAGTGATAGGTTCACCCTGTAGAGTTGAGAGCATTAAACATTGAAAAAGCTTTGTCTGAATCCATTTGAATCCACTGACTCCATTTTATCTACTTCTGTTCCAAAATAAATAGATAATTAAAGTAGGCCTTACATAACATTGAAACCTGAAATAAACTACAGTTACTCAATCATGTGACTGAGAAACAGGTTGGAAACTGGCAAATTGTGTATCATCAAAATAATGATGATAAACATTTGCTTCACGCACATTTTGATAACGCTAGTGAAGGAACTTTCATCATACAAAAAGCTAATTTTACTTAATGTCCCCAAAATATGACACACAGCCATCTGAATTTCGTGGATTCTGCTTATCTACCTCAGCAGACCGAGCCAGTTAACCTGCACAAACAAGTCAGGAACGTGTACTCTGTTCTCTCCACCATTCAGAAAGATTAGGCTTTCGTATATTGAATGAGTGAAATTTCCCTCTTTCACAACCTTGTTGGCAAAAGACACAAATTGTTCTGCAGCTCTACTTTTATCTTATTTTAATGAGTTATGTTAATGCTGAAGTCTGCTGTGCATCTGCCATAAGGGCACAAATTTACTCCACACTTAAATCTACAAATACTCAACGTAGCAAGCAAATATATTTATTCAATTAAAAACAAAAAAATAACAAAGAATGGTAAAATTATACTGATGTATAATTAATATGGAGGCTTTTTCATACTCATATTAAAATCTATTTGGACCCTTGATCTGTTGAATGTTCAAAATCAACGTTAGATAGCAAAAAAACTTAAAGCATCCCCTTTAAAAGGGTTGTATCATTCAATTTCTGAAAGCTTTTTATGTTAGTGATCTCGTTTACTATTCACTATGTAAAGTCAGGATAAGAGGGCCACTAAATGACTGTGCTCAATAAAACACCATGCCACAGCACGGCTTGAGTATATTGTTTTTTCCCCACCAATTTATGTTGGAAGCCACCATGTGGCCCCAGGACTTCTAACACCTAGTCTACACTAAAAGGATACTAAATCGTCCAAACTACATTGGGCAAACTGTGATGACAATTCACATTTCTTAAAATCCATAGGGATTCAGCTTTTTCCCTGAGTTCACAATTGATCAAACTCACTCATTGATACGTTTCCTACCTGAGGTCTGGTACTACCCCAGAGCCTATCAACCTGTCGGCTGATATTCACTGCTGATTGCCTGTCCTTTGACATAACTGACCTCACCGTCATAACTAAATGGTGAAAACAAGTATATAAATGTTTGACACAATTTATGAAGAAAGTGAAGAAAATATTTGGCTTCAAATAATCAGACTGCAGTAATAAAATTCTTCCTGGCCCCCAGTGAATTGGACGACCAGAATCATCAAGATGATACACCATGTACCTCACCTCTAACTCAACAGTCAACACACGCCAAAGGTCACAGATTGTTCTTAACATGAGGAAAAGGATCAATGGCACGTGACTGTCTAAGCATAGGATGTCTCTCTTTCAAAGATGGAAGAAGTCACTCTTTTGGGATAGTTTGTCACCATTTCCTTGGGCCAATGAATTTCTGAGGTTTTGGAAAAGAAAGCAGGTTTCTTATGTGACAACTACGGTTTCAGGATAATTAATTTCAAAGATAATAACCTGTCTTTGATTTACTCTAGCAGGTGTTTACAGGAAAAAACAAACTCACTACAATCTTTCTGGGCAATAAGCATGAATGTGAAAAAACACTTCCCCCCTCCCTGCCGTGGCTTGGCTTTCATCAGATTAAAGAATCGTAAGACACTTTATTTCAAGGTAAACAAAGAAAAAATGTTTGGAAAAATAGGTCTGGCTGGTATGTGCCTGGTATGCAAAACACTGGGTATAGTCTCCATGATACACTGACTACTGCCTTGACAAAGGTTCTGTCTCAAAAATCCAGGTATGTACTGTCTGAAAGGTTTTAATGCATTTAAATGACTAACAGCTGATCATGTACTCATGTTAGTAGATGGCAGAAAGGGACAGAACTTCTGCGTAACATGGAAGTGTCAAAACAAACCTTCAGGCAAGAAAGCATCACAGCAAATGGAAAAAGCCATTAGTTGATTTTAAGATGAGACTGACAATTTGGACTAATATAACGTCCCCATGCAAGAACTTAATATATTATATTCAGCTACCGCCATCCCACTTGAGATTTGCTTAAACTCTCTCTCAGGTACCAGGAAGGAAAAGTCAGGATACTACAGAGCACTACAATTAGTAAGAAAAAAATCTTAGGAGATTGCAAATACATCTGTTACTACAGAAACTGTATCAAAAGACACTTTCCAAGTTGGGCCCAGGCAACAGTATAACAAACAGCAGCATTTAACATCTACTTGACCAGTATGAAAAAGGCTTTCCCATCAACTTCAGCTACCAGAAAGTAACAAAGGATGCCTGGAAAATATTTGTCTGACATAGATACAATCTGGAGTGTGAAAAGAGCTGGGAGGAATACATGAAGAAACGTGTAGGTTTGTCCACAATCAGAGAAGCCGTTTGCCAGAGGAAGGTTTAGCTTTCATTTAATCCTCACTTACAAAACACTTTAAAGGAAACAAGCAAACCTTCCTATAATCTACAAGAATCCAAAATTTCTCCCATGGCCAGAGAAGAGTATGGAAAAAACTACACCCTTCTATTAGAAGCTTCCTCTACTCCACTGTACATCCAGCACAATGACACCAGCTTCTCCTCTTACAATCGAGCTATGTACCATTCCTATAAACACACATATTGCAGCTGGGGGGGGCAGTATTATTATACCGTTAGCGCACTCCCTTCCCCAAAGTACGAATGATTGAGTTTGTTCATTAGGTTGATTAGACCTTTTGACTTCTTAAGAGACAATTCAGGCTCAACTGCTGCTAGATGATAGGAAAAACTTTAATCACCAAGGTCAAGCGTGAGCTTTTCAGCTTAGAATGCATTAGTACCTTCCATCCTCCATGACCTCCAGAAGGGTGAACACACTGTTGCTAACCCCCATCCACAGCTTCATTACAAAAAGACAAGATGGACAATAAGACCATTTTCTTGACAGATTTAGTTAACTGTAAATTATAAAGCTAATCATCTCTGCTTTTACTGACAGATGACATTATACATGAGGGGACATGCTAAAACCTGCAGATATTTTGTGAAATGAATTGTCTTGCTTACATGTGAAGCAATTATAATAACCTGTCCTGATAAACCCATCAACTCCTAAACTTGCTGTTTCCAACAGTTACAATTTAGGTCTTGATTCATCAATACCTTAAATATCCATTATTCCCCTCTCCAACTATAAATGCATAACAGAGGCTAAGATAACAGCACTACAAATGCTCTAAATGTGTGCACAATACAACTCTATGAGGAATCTGATTTGATCTGTAATATTAGATAATTCACATATACTTCAAGATTGGATCACAAAAAAAATTTTAATACAAAAATTTACACATTTCAAAGACATTTAATCTGCAATCTTAAGACAAGAGATGTAACTTTAAAATGTAATACTAAGATTTAAGACTCCCAGATACATTGAAAAAATGGGTGCCTTTTCTTTATGCCTTTGCAAATCTCCATTTATATGAATATTTTATATTCATATGGCATAATGAAGTTCATCAGGGCAGCACTGCTACCTCATGACCCCTTAAAGAGCTGAAAAGTTTCAGCCCACATCTGATCTGTTGCCAGTCCTATTTTTAAAAGGGAATTCAGTTACATTCTAAAATAACGTTTAAAACTACTTAAGGCAGCAAGTGAAAAATGAAAGGAGTCTACAACTTATTTCAGACTGCTCTAGAGTTTCATGAAACCTGCCATTATATTTTAAGAGCTATAATGCAAATTGAAAAATAATGCTTTATTTTGATTAGCTACGCTGTAAAAAATTTCACCGTGATCCCCCATCTTTCAAGGAAATCACTTTTCTTCAGAAAGAAAAACTCTTTCAGAAGAGTGTACAGAACCGTGTGCAGGCAGTTACTGTGACAGAAGTATGCTATCTGAATTGTCTGACTTACCATGCTCGCAGGCAGGCTAGCTAACTGGTTATGGCAGTAACTTTCACAGTGAGTATAAAGGACTAAAAATATGTGGTTCAGAAGAGAGCACAGATTAGAGAAGGACTTGGAGGAAGGAACAGAGGCAAACACAAATGATACTTCTGGAAAGACACACAGGTGCTAAGGTAACTCATGGACGTCTAACCATTCCTACTCCTGCAAGAGATGAAACACCAAAGTGTGCATCTGGATAATGGGGCTTTAAAGCCAGCGTGTGACTGCTAGAGAAAACATTAAGATAATAAAGACAGGGTTCAAATTAGGTTAACAGTGAGAGTCTCTTGAACAAGCAAAGATTTCAGAAAACTTTATTCTAAGAGTAAAATTTAAAAAAAAAAACACAACAAAACAACAACCCAAGCCTGAAGACTTTGTTTAGACAACCCTAAAAGTTATGCCATGCAAGATATATGTAATTTCTTCTGCATTATCATGGTCAGCATGTGGTGCAGGGTAATGAATTTTGTACTGCTATATGCATGCCTTTAAACCATGTAGGTGCTCTTTCAAAGCCTCTCTAATAAATACACAAGCCATTAGAGCTGCTCTGTAAGTCAGCCACGAAATGAAAAAATGTGGGTGGAATTTAAAGGTGCAGAACAAGATGACAATCTGACAGTCCAGAAGCTGTAAGTGTCAGTACACTATGCAGCAAAACCCCAAATATACAGCAAGAACAATGACGTGCAAGGGATTCATATATCATTGGTTTATTACTATCTAGATGTCGCAAATAACCACATCCTTTACTAAAATTGGTTATGTTGCAAATGACAAAGTGAAGCCTGTAGGGATATTCTAGGAATCACCATCCTTAATTCCATCCAGAATTATAATGAAACTAAGATAGGAGAATGATCTTACTGATCTGGATATATATGTCAATGTCAGATACAACAGCAACCAAAGGCAAGCAACTG